AACAACATAAGCACTAAATGTGAATTGCTCAGAAAATGTCAATTGAAACCCTAATCCGGCGAGGTCTCAGATTGGAACTTGCTCAAGCAAAAGAAATTCCAGTAAGCCAACTGAAACAATAATTTACACGAAACATAGTGTACGGAGAAAAACAGGATAAATAATAGAGGTTCACCAACCGGTTTCGCAAACTCAATTTTTAACGAATTTCCACGAAGGAAATGCCCCTGGAGAGCCTGCCTAGCAGATTTCGCGCAATCGACCTCCTTAAAATAAATGAACGCATAGTTGCGGGACGAGTACGCGCTCACGCTGTCGACCTTGCCGTACTTTTCGAACAACGATTTCAACTCCGTTTCACTAACATCGGGAGATACGTTGCCGATCCACAAATTGTTCGACGGCGGGTTTTCGCGCGGCGGATCTCCGCCGAGGCCATGTCCATGGGTCTGATTAGCCAACGATTTGGACGGCGGCGCCATTGCTAGTGACTCGCTCGGATAATTAAATCTGAGAAATTTTGATACAGAGAGCAGAGAGAAGATAAGTGGGGCGTTTGGGTTAGGTTATGTCGAGGGTTGCGAGATTGGGCTGTTTGCCCTTTATTTGAACACTTGAGGACGGGTTGGTTTCCGAATTAAAAGTTGAAATGGTTCTCATAACGAAGTCTATATGTATAAACTAGTATGCGATGATTTGTAAATTAAATAATTATTAAATAATATCTATAAATTAAAATATGAAACTAATATGTAATACAAATTACCTATATTAATTTATTTAAAATGTTATATGAAATTTAAATTGTACAAAATTACATAAGACATTATCTATTTAAAATAGTATATAATCCGAACAGTACACATAACTGATAATAAATTTTATTATATTTATCTCAAAATAAGTGTCATTCTTAAAATTTTTATTTTGAAATTCTACTTCAATATAATATAGTTCCATAAAATAATTATTTTGGTAGAATCTTATCGTATATTTAAAAATCTATGTGAATAACACGAATGTAATATGTGTTGTCTCTGAATTTAATAATTCCGATTGTAACATAGAAACATATTTTAGTAAATCAGATAAATTTAATTTTTGTGATTTTATTTATTTTGTCAACAAATAATTTATAAACCTTTTCAACTATATCAATAACGTGTTAAATAGATCCTACCTTTAAATAACCACTAATCTAATCAATTAGATAGTCACTAATATAATCAATGTGTTGTTTAAAATTTCAAATTTTAATAGTTCTTAATATAATTGTGGAAATTAATTATTCTTACCTTAATCAATGTTGATGTAGCACCAGAAATAACTCGGTGGACCGGCCTGACCCGTTAGCTCAGATAAGGCCGGTCCAAGGGAGCTTGTAGCCTATTTTATGCGATACACGGTATTAATTAAAGATATTCATGAAAGTCGGTGTATATCTACACAGTTATTGAGGAACATCATAATTCTGATTTATTGAGGAAACTCATTATCTTGGGGAGTAAGTCATTAAACCCCTTATAAATAAGGGACTAGGTTCATTTTCTAATGATGAGCTCTTAAGATTATTGAAATACACGATTAAAACATCCGTTTCCTGACTTGAGCGTCGGAGTGTCTATGTTGGGCCCCTTCCCGGCGCTTTGCAGGCCGATCGGTTCTTGAAGACAAAGCCGATCGAGACGTCCGAGCTCTCTTGCAATCGAGATGAGGCGGTTCGACCGGCAACCTCGGTGAGTCGATTATTTTGACACATCAAATGTGTATTATGATTTAGTTATTTCCTTAAATAATGAGCCGCAATTTCCATAAGTGATTATTTAAAATATATCATAAATTGTTAAATTAATTTTCCAAAATAATAAATAAATTTTTTTGGAGGGAAATAGTTACTATTTAAAAAATAATCAAACTTTTTTATATATATATAGATAAGGTTAATTCCCTATAAAACCCCAACATTTTGTTTAATTGCAAAAAAAACTCAACCTTTTCAACTTTGCAACTAAATACTTAGGGGGTGATTGTTTATCACCTCAACTAAAAAAAACCAATCAAAACTCAAATTTAACTCCACTTTAACCCAACTCCATTATCTCCAATATTATCAATATAATTAAATAATATCAACCAATCATTCAACCAATCATTCTTACACACATCAACTTTAATTCCCTATTCATCCACTCACATAATTTTAAATAATCATCACTTCCAACCATTTTTCTCCTATTTTTACATCATATCAACTTTAATTATTTTATTTTAAATATTATTTTAATATATCCACTAACAACTAACCATACCACCTTTTTTCATAATTAACTATAGTTAAAAAAAAAACAATTGCAATTTAGTTGAATTTATAAACAATCACCCCTTATGTATTGCAAGTTTGTCTCAAAATTAGTTTCCGGTCAAGCCTTGCTGACATGTCCGATCGGAGTTCTGACGTGGCACCGATTAAGCTTGCGTGGCACTCAATATTTTAAAGTCGATGCCACATCATCTTACACGTAAGAATCCACATCACATCCCCTTAACCCTTTCATTCGATTTTTCTCCATTTATGCAACGAGAATTTTCAGGAAAAAAAAAAAAAATCAACGACGCCTTCTTCTCAAATTTTTTTTCCCCAAGGCTTTGCAGCGATTCACCTCCAAAAATTGCAGCGACTTCATGGCTTGATTCTTCACCCCAAAAGTCGAGTTCACCATATGCTTGAGGAATTCATTTCGATCCTAGATCCCTAAAACCAAAAATCTCAGAACCCTAAAACTAAGAATCCATCTGTAGAAACCAAGATCCTAACAAGTATGTATGTTTCTTCTCAAATTTCGAATTCCCCCAATTCTTGAGGAATTCATTTCGATCTCGTGTGATGATTCGGTGATTAACTATAAATGTTCTTTGCTGGTTCGGTCCCAAAAATCGCCCCCTCTACCCAATTTTTCAGAATTTGGGGTGAACTCGATTTTTGGGGGAGAAGAAATCACGCCATGAAAAAAGTGAATCGCTGCATTTTTTTATTTGTCTTTTTTTTCAATTGAAGTGAATCGCTGCAATTTTTCGAGAAAAAAGTGAACTCGATTTTTGTTGGCTCGATTTTGGGCATATGACATGGAATATCATGTGGGATATGGGTTTAAAAATGTTGAGTGTCACGCAAGTTTAATCGGTATCACGTCAAAATTCTGATCGAACATGTCAGCAAGGCTTGGCCGAAAACTGATTTTGAGACAAACTTGCAATACATAATAAAGGTTTAGTATTTAGTTGCAAAGTTAAAAAGGTTGAGTTTTTTTTTTCAATTAAACAAAAGGTTGGGATTTTATAGGCAATCAACCTTATATATTTTTATTAATTCATAATGTATATTCTAAATTTTTAATTTTCTTTCTAATCTAATTATTTACATGGTAGTTCAACATCGATTGCTTTTATCATTATAAGTTATAACAATAGACAATATAATTTTTTTTTATAAGCTAACAACTCACATCGTTGTTCTACAGATGAATCATTGGTTTATCATTATATATAACAATATATATTATAAATATTTTATACATATACATGGATAGTTTGACAGATGATCTATTGGTTTGTCATCATGATTTATAACAATAAATATTATAAATATTTTATTTTTTTCTTTCGAAGTCTATAATTCGCATGACAATTAGACAGATGACTCGTTTGCTTATCATTACTTATAACAGTACATGTTATAAATGCTTTGATTCTTTAAAATCTAATAATCTATATGTCAGTTCGACTGAGAAAAGATCTCACTAAGACAAACTTTTTTCAATTGCAAAAGGTCAACTCCATACTTGGGATGGGAGATGATTGGAAAGAGCGCTCGTACTCACAAACGTGTTTACTCGCATCTTAGCGTGGTCTACTCCTAATTAACCCATTAATTACTATTTTTTATTATTTTATACTAAACACATTTAATTATATACGATGGTATTGTATTATATTAATAACTTGAGACCAATTCTTATTTTTAAAAACGGTATTAAATAGTAAATTTAAGTTCATTTCATATATGAAATATTAACCAATAAACTTATTAATACTTGAGAAATATTTATATATATAGTGTGAGTGTCAAATCAAAAATCTTAAATAAAAGATTAATTTAATATTATATCTTAAAAAATGAATAAAATATACAGTTTTCAAAAAGAAAAAAACATTAATACTTGATAAGAAATTGAAAAAGAAAAAAAAAAGGCAACGATATTGAAACTAAATAGGACAAAAGTAATATTAGGAAATTTCTTCATCTAGTCATTTCAGAAGAGAGAATAGTTGATGGTCAATTTTTTAAAAGTTTATTTTTCAAATTCTTAATTTATTAACTGTATCCATAAATTTATATTTTCCAAATCAAATAAAATTATATATTAGATAGAAACAAAATAATTGATTAAAAATTTTCAAAAAGTTTAAACTCAAATTATTGACATCACTGCACTAAAAAAATATCAGGTAAAAATAAAGTAATTGATTGAAAATAATTGATAAGTTAATCAGTATATTCAGATCAATTATTGATATCAGATTGCATAACACAAAAATAAAAGTCTCATAACGTATGGTAAATAATAATTTACCCAAAAGAAATTAAAAAAAGGTAAAAATAATGTTTAAAAATATTTTTTTATTTAGTGATAAAATACTTTCTTGGAAGGAAAACCATACTATTTTAAGTAAATATAAACCTTTTTATATATATGGATTCAATGGTTTACTGATCGAATTGAATAAATTGGATCAATATATTAAATAGTTTATAATGTTTAAAGTAATATTTTTTTAATAAAAATTTACTTTTAATATATTTAAACAATTTATAATAGGAAAATCTCTAAATTATTTAATATAATATTTACATATATCTAATATCTCTCTCTTTATATAAGAAAAAGTATGAACGGTTTAGAGCTAGACACATGTCCCTTAGTTGATTTACCAAAATGCCCTTCATCATTATTATTATTATTTGTTCTTTTGACATTCCAAAAGTGAGGCGGTTTGGACCTTTCGATGTAAGAAAAGGAATAGGTTGGCGAAATGATCAAACTGCCCTTGATTTACCT